GTGTTTCGTGTTTGGTAATTGCAACCATTGTTGCTTTTGCTGTGGTCATCCATTTACAATGCTTGGTGTCAGTCTATTTATCTCGTAAAAATAAAATACAGTGTGTGTGTGTGTGTGTGTGTGTGTGTGTGTGAAAAACAAAACAAAAAAAACAAAATAATAAAATATTAAAAAAAAAAACAAACAATACTCTACCCAGCAAGGCTCTCGTTTGGATTTGACAGAGAAATCAAAAAGGTTTACAGACAAGCAAAAGTTAAGGGAATTCAGCATCACCAAACCAGCTTTACAACAAATGCTAAAGGAACTTCTCTAGGCCAAAAAGAAAAGCCCAAAACTAAAAACAAGAGAATTATGAATGGGTAAAGCTCACTGGTAAAGGCAACCATACAGTAAAGTTAGGAAATCATCCACACACAAATATCAAAACCATCAACTGTGAGGAGAGTAGAAATGCAGGACATTGGAAATGTATTTGAGATTAAGAGACCAGCAACTCAAAACTATCAAAACCATCTTGTTTATATATATATGTACTGCTATATCAAAACCTCATGGATGGTAACTGCAAACTAAAAATCCACAACAGAAACTCACATGCTTCCTGATTTCAAACTATATTATAGTAATCAAAACAGTATGGTATCGGCACAAAGACAGACACATAGATGAGTGGAATAGAACAGAGAGCCCAGAAATAAACCCACACATATATGATCAATTAACTTATGACAAAGGAGCCAGGACTATACAATGGGGAAAGAAGAGTCTCATCAATAAATGGTGCTGGAAAAACTGGACAGCTACATGCCAAAGAATCAAACCAGTTCATCTGTACCATTTTTCTACAAATGAACCAGTCTGCAAGGCAGAAATAAAGACACAGATGTAGAGAACAAACGTATGGACACCAAGGAGGGAAAGCAGTGGGTGGTGGTGGGATGAATTGGGAGATTGGGATTGACATATATACACTAATATGTATAAAATAGGTAACTAATAAGAACCTGCTGTACAAAAAATAAAATCCACACACAAAAAAGGAAACCAAACCACTATCTCACACAATACACAAAAATCAACTCATAAAGGATTAAAGTCTTAAATATAAGACCTGAAACCTAGGGGCTTCCCTGGTGGCTCAGTGGTTAAGAATCTGACTGCCAATGCAGGGGACATGGGTTTGAGCCCTGGTCCGGGAAGATCCCACATGCCGCGGAGCAACTAAGCCCGTGCGCCACAACTACTGAGCGTGCGCTCTAGAGCCTGCGAGCCACAACTACTGAAGCCCCTGGGCCTAGAGTCCATGCTCCGCAATGAGAAGCCACCACAGTGAGAAGCCCACGCATGACAACAAAGAGTAGCCCCCACTTGGCGCAACTAGAGAAAAGCCCATGTGCAGCAATGAAGACCCAAAAGCAGCCAATAAATAAATAAATAATAAATTCTTAAAAAAAAAAAAAGACCTGAAACCTAAAACTCCTGAAAAAAAATAGATGGTAAGCTTCTTGACATGATTTTTTGGATTTGACCAAAAGCAAAAGCAGCAAAAGCAAAATAAACAAGTGGAACTACATGAAAAAATCTTCTGTACAGCAAAGGAAGCCATCAACAAAATAAAAAGGCACCCCATGAAATGGGAGAAAGTATTTGTAAATCATATATCTGATAAATGGTTACTATCTAAAATATATTAAAAGACTCAAGCAACTCAATAGGAAAAAAAAAAAAGAAACAATCTAATTATAAAATGGGCAGAGGCTCTGAATGGACCTTTCCCCAAAGACATTCAAATGGCCAACAAGTACATGAAAAGGGGCTCAACATCACTAATCTTCAGGGAAATGCAAACCAAAACCACAATTAGCTATCACCTCACACCTGTTAGAATGGCTATCCTCAAAAAGACAATAGATAACAAGTGTTGGTTAGGATGTAGAGAAAAGGGAACCCTTGTGCACTGTTGGTGGGGATGTAAATTTCCAATCACTATGGAAAATATGGAGGTTCCTCAAAAAATTAAAAATAGAACTACCAGGGACTTCCCGGCAGTCTAGTGATTTAAGACTTCACCTTCCAATGCAGGGGGTGCAGGTTCAATCCCTGGTCAGGGAGCTAAGATCCCACAGGCCTTGTGGCCAAAAACCAAAACATAAAACAGAAGCAATATTGTAACAATTCAATAAAGACTTTAAAAATGGTCCACATCAAAAAAAAACTTTAAAAAAATTTCTAAAAAAACAGAACTACCACATGATCTAGCAATTCCACTTTGTGATTCCATGAAATCACCACCTTGAAAAGATATTTGCACCGTCATGTTCACTGCAGCATTATTTACAATAGCCAAGACATGGAAACAACCTAAGTGTCAATCGACGGATGAATGTATAAATAAAACGTGATCACACACACACACACACACTCACACTCACACATACATACAATGGAATGTTATTCAGCCATAAAAAAGAAGGAAATCCTGCCATTTGTGACAACATGGATGGATCCTGAGGGCATGATGTCCAAAGAAATAAGTCAGACAATGAAAGACAAATACACAATGATCTCACTTTTATGTGGAACCTTAAAAACTCAACTCATAGAAACAGAGTGTCATGGTGGTTGCCAGGGGCTGGGGGCTGAAGGAAATGGGAAGATCTGGGTCAAAGGGTACAAACTTCTAGTTATAAGGGCAATGAGTACGAGGAGTGTAAAGTACAGCTTGGTGACTATAGTTAACAATATTGCATTGTATACTTGAAAGTTGCTAAGAGAGTAGACCTTAAAAGTTCTCTCACAAGAAAATTTGTGGTGATGGATGTCAACTAAACTTACTACGGTGATCATTTTGCAATACGTACAAATGTCAAACCATTATGTTGTACACATAAAACTAATACAGTGTTTATCTCAATTAAAAAAAAAGATCAGGGCTTCCCTGGTGGCGCAGTGGTTGAGAGTCCGCCTGCCGATGCAGGGGACACAGGTTCGTGCCCCGGTCCGGGAAGATCCCACATGCCGCGGAGCGGCTGGTCCCGTGAGCCATGGCCGCTGAGCCTGCGCGTCCGGAGCCTGTGCTCCGCAACGGGAGAGGCCACAACAGTGAGAGGCCTGCGTACCACA